GAAGGAGAGAGAGAGAGAGAGAGAGAGAGAGAGAGAGAGAGAGAAGAGAGAGAGAGAGAGAGAGAGAGAGAGGGAGAAAAGAGTGTCCATCTTGAAATTTACCACCGCCTCGCAATAATCAGTGACCCGAGTCTGTATAACACAGCTAATTTTTCCGCTGCTGACGCACCGATCGCCTTCCTGGTAGTCATAGGGGCGCGGGGAGGCAGTTATGCCGCTTTTTATTTTGTCATGGATGGCTCCCGAAAGAATGTTTATAACTGGCAAAATGTGTGTTTAGAGGCGGAGATAGCGTGGGGGCACAGCTGGCACGTTTCCCTCAAGTCCTGAAGGGTTTGGAGGACCTCTCGCGACCAACGATTGAGGCCCTGATTTCATGGCCCGAAGGGCCCTAGGGCTGGCAAGAGGCCGTAGTAGCCCAGCCAGCATCCTAAATGGGACCCACAAGGACCAATATCGTGGGGCAAACTGGATTAATATGAGCTGGGCTACATGTGGCTTTTAAACTGCAGTCCAGCTGGGTCCTGCATGGGGTGCCCACACCATTTCATGTTTTCGTACCCACCGGAAATGTTCGTGCTGTCCTGTCGGAATTTATCACGTCGAGACGAGATAATTCACGAGGAAATATTTGCTTTGGTGGGACCCATATGGGTCATATGTGGGCTGGGCTGGGCTTATGTCAACATGGGATGCAAGTTGACTGGTATCTAGGCCTAATCTGGGGCCAGATTGGTTGCCCATATGTTACATGCGTGATAAAGTTGTTACGCACACAGCGTTGATGCGGATACCAATCGCTTTTTTGTCTCGATTTTAATAAATCCTTCACATTTATGCTTGAATATGGGACTGCTGCCTGGACGGAGGTCCATATGAGCTGAGCTGGATCGGCCCATGTCCATGTAGGCTGCAGGTTGGCTGGTATCTGGGCTCCATCTGGTGCCCAGATAGACTGCCCGTACGCCACCCTATTTGGCACAGGTGTATTAGGCTCGTTACTTGTGCCCCGCGTTACATCTTTCCTTATCATGTAGAAATGAGTGCATAGCAAAGGGGAGCAGAACGACTTGGGATTCATATGGGATGTATGTGCGTACGATGGGCTCATGCCAACATGGGCTGCAGATGGGCTAATCTATGGGCCCCATGCCGAGCCCAGATGGGCTTCCCGTATGTGATATGCACAGTAACGTTGACACATACAAAATAATGTGGCATCAATTGTTTTTATTGTCTTTAGGTTTTGCCAAATCGCGTACAATTGTTTTACAACATAGGACAGCTGGTTGGGTCCTGTATGGGCAGAGCATGGGCCAGCAGGGCTCAGTCTATGTAGGTTGCAGGTGGGCTGGCATTTCGACTCCTTATAGGACCCAGGTGGGCTGGCTATACGCTGCCATATTTGGCACGGGCGTATTAGGCTTGTTACTTTGTGCTCCCACATTTAATTTTTCCTTAGCATGTAGAGATGAGCACATCACAAAGGAGGGCAGCGCAAGTTAGGGTTTATATGGGATGTGTGTGGACAAGTTGGGATCATATTAACATGGGCCGCAGGCAGACTAGTCTTTGGGCCCGTGTGGGACCGAGATGGGCTGCCCACATGGCAACATCTTTTACACCAGTGCATTAATTTTTATACTTTGCTCTCCATGAATGGATATTTTCTGATCGTGTACAAACTGGGTTGCAACAGGGGTGAGCGGCATACACTCAAATCCACCCGGGCCGCAGGTGGGCGAGCTGGCTACATGCCTGCATGGGACTGCAGGCGGGCTGATGCCTGGGCCCCGTCTGGGACCCGGATTGGCTGCCCATATGCTATCGCATTAACTATGCGCGTAATAATTTTAGTGCCGTGTGCTTCCTGGTTCGGTTTTACCATGTCACGTGCAAATAAGGACAACTGGCATGGAGCTCATCCGCATGGACTGCGCGTGGGCAAGTTAAGCTCACGTCAACATCAATCGATTCACTGCCATATCACTTGAGGCAGTTGGTGTGCCCCATGTCAATAGTTTGTGCGCTAATGGCATGGAGTGAGCACATTACTCTATTTACCTTTCGCTGGTTGATGAATCATTGGTCGGGTTTCGAGCTTCCCGGTAGTTACAAGTGTCCCGCTGACCGGTCGCCCGCTGGGGTCTCGGCAGTGGGAAGTGAGGGTTCCGCATCGCTTCAGGGGCACCGAGGTGCCAGTCAGAGGGCCGGCTGGCCAGGTGGGCCGGCAGCACCGAGCACACCGCTAACCACTGTCTTCTAAAATCTTGGTCGGAGTTTCTGGTGGTTGCATGCAACTGATCAGATGCAGTTACTTTGTGCTGCTTGGTGTTCCAGGAACACAGGCCCAGAGAGTCATGCTTGAGCTTTTCGACAGCTTTAGTACAGAAGACCGACATGGGCCACTAGACTCAACCGTTTCGCTATTTGCGAGCTAATATCATTTCAGTTACCAACCGTTTGCAAGGGCTTTCGGCATGTGCGGAGTTTTTGGTCGTCCATGGCATTGGTGGTTGGATGGTGCGATTGGCTAGCCATCTCTTGACAACACTCTACTCGGCGCCGTGGATGCTCAACGTAATAAGCTTGTGGACCCATCGCACCACGCTGACAAAGGCTACAAGATCATTCCGTTGGTTACGATTTAAATGCACCACCAGTTTTTTATAAGCTAACCAATATATTTGTAGGCAAACGGCATTTGTGAGCCAGGAGAGTATTGCGTCGTTTAACCTTCACACCCAATTCGCTGCTTTTCTTGAAAATGGGGAGCGGTCCATGTAACCCCTGTCTTTACCAAACTACGACAGAAACAGTTGCAAGAAATCCCGCGAATTTATCGCCTACGAGATCTCCCGAATGAAAGTCAGTATGATGTCTCTATGTCCATATTTGTATATATATATAGTATATATATATATATATATATATATATATATATATTATATATTATATATATATATGTGTGTGTGTGTGTGTGTGTGGTGTGGGTGATGTGTGTGTGTGTGTGTGTGTGTGTGTGTGTG